CCCCACCCCACCTCCACCCCCCAATCTCCTTTAAAAAAATTGTTTCCCCGATTTCTTTATTTTGACGAGCACTTGAATTCACCACGACGCCTCGGATTTACTAGCATGTTTCCCTCATCAACGTTACCTCTTGCTTCGTGATTGTCAAGGCCACAGGCATGCCGTAGTCCACTTGGTAGCCGGACAGCTTCAGCCAGTCGGCCTGCAAAAAAAAAAAGACGTAAGTGACATAAGTAAAATTGGCAGAGGCTGACATCAGATCGAAGAAACACAAGCATCTTGTGATGAGAGTGTACTATTGTAATTAAGCTTGCATGGGAAAGGCACCAAATACCATAAGTTTTAAAAAAATATAATTATACATAACACCACATTCTCTGTACTTAAGTCGCCGAGCACAATATGTAAGGGGGCTCTCGTGGCCAAGAGGATAAAGTGTTGGCATCTCATTCAAAGGTCCCGGGGTCGAATCCGGGTAGAGACTGCTACTCCTTGGCTCCTTCTTACTGCTGTCTTTCAACCACATCCCTGATCTTCTGGTAGGAAAGATCTACCCCTAGCCTTCTCAGACAAGGGCGAAAAATCTCGAAGGGCCCGTGTGCAAGTTGCGCACGTCAAAGATCCCTTGGAGGTCTTAAATCGATAAAAGTAGGCTTCGGCTGCCACACTGGGAAAATTCAAAATTTCCTACCAACTGAAATAGTTTAATGTGTCCCACGCGCTCATTTAAAAATAATAAATAAATAGCATATCGCATGTCCCCACACGAAAGCAAGCTCTATGCGCTTTACACTATAGTATTACCCCAGCTGACTATAGAACACTCAGAAACATTCTCAGCTTCCCGGGAAGCATACAGAGCAAGCAACTGGTTAAGCGCTCAAACACTAACAGACTGACAACAGATCTTTCACTGTCTCTTGCAGGGTACCTATTTTCACATGGGTGAAGTGGGGAAGATTTGTGTAAAGTGCCTTTCTCAAGGACACAATGTCGGGCACGCGGCTCGAACTCCCGAACCCGCAACCTCATGATTAACCACTAGGCCACCGATGCCGTTTCACCTCATGCAGTTGCGAGCGCCGTAAAACACTTACCCCCCCCCCCAAAAAAAACACCAAAAAACAATGTGCAAGAAAAGACAATCCGTCTTGCCTCTAGCAGATTCATTCAGATTTTCTTTGACTTACACTAGCAAAGTACGAGGTTTGTTCAGATTTTCAGTGGAAAGGTACTTGATCATTCATTGACTTACACAATTGAAGTACGGAATTTGTGTAGATTTATACTAACAAATGACCGATTTTATGTCGATTTACACAACGAGCAAATAGCTTAATCAGTGTTGGTTTACGCTACTGGAGTACTGGAGTGTGCTGACTTACGAAAACAAAGTGGGGGATTTGCGGTTTTACATCAAATAGGAAATGGATTTTTGTTGATTTACATAAGAAAAGAACAAGATTTTCGTTGACCTACACGCTTTGTGTTAACTTACACAAGTAAAAAGAACCAGATTTTTTAAAACTTACATTTGACGAAGATTTGTGTTATCTTACACGAGTAAAAAGAACCAGTTTTTCGTTGACTTACACGAGCAAGTAACAAGCTTTCGGTGGACTTACACTAGCAAAGTACAAGATTTTGGTTAACTTACTCAAGAAAAAACGAGATTTTCGTTGACTTTCACAAGTAAAGAACAAGATTTTGCTTGGCTTACACAGGCAAAGAACACGATTTTGACTTACGCTAGCAAAGTACCAGGTGTAGATGGACTCCAGCTGATAACCTGGTGTGTTCTTGAAGCCGCCGCTCCAGACGTCGCAGTCAATACCTCTGCTTAAGTGGCGGTGCTAGAGAGACAAATATCAGGAGTAGAGGTGTGAAAGAGTAGGGAGTGTTGGGTGAGTGGGAAATGTGGGGAAGGTATGAAGAAAGATGGGAGTGGGGTGGGGGTGTGCGGAGGGAAGTGTGAAGAGAATGAGTAGTGTGGTGGACGGGATGTGGAGAGGGGTGTGAGGAGGAGGGGGTGTGGGGAGGAGTGGGAGTGGAGAGGTGGATTGGGGAGGAGTGTGGGTAGGAGGGGGTGCGTGGAGGGGTGTGAGGAGGAGTGGGTGTGTGGGGAGGGATGTGGGGAGGGGTGTGGGGAGGGGTGTGGAGGAGGTGTGAGGATGAGGATGGCAACACCTTGGGGAGTGTGGAGAGAGGTTATGTGAAGAGAATGTGAAGTATGGGGAATGGTGGGGCCGAAGAGGTACAGACTTATGAATCGAATTGAAGAAAGGTGTTGGAATGATGGGATGCGATCAGTGAGCGAAGAGGTAAACTTTAAAAAAGGGGGAAGGGATGGGTGGCGAGGCGGTAGAAATGAAGGCAAGAAGAGATAATCTGCTAATAAAAGGCTGTTGACTTTCATAAAGTAGTTTAATGAGCACGTTCGGTAAGTATGGAAATGGGAGTCTACATTGACTTCTACTCCTCACACACACA